ATCAAAGAACCTCTAGTGAAAACAAAGACGGAGGAGGAAGAGGAGGAGGAGGAGGAAGAGGAGAATAAAATAGCCTCTAGTGACTTCACTGAACCTTGATTTCTTTGTACTGAAGATTAAGGAATTGCAGATGTTGGTCTATTTTTATTTGCTCAGCATACACGATTTCTATTGCAAGAAGGCTTGATCCACCTTCACAGTGATTTTGGCCTTATCTCTGGCCTAGCAGTTCCTCTTCCATTTTAATTACAGAGGCTGAGAAGGGCAGATGTCGAAGGCCAGGCCTATCAATTCATAAAGGAAAACAGCCTAGAAATATTTCCTCAAACATCCCTGTTCTTGTGGTCTGTCCTAGAGTTTTTGTGGGGATACACACCTATAAGAGTAAAATGAAGAGATTTATTGAAAGTCCAGAGATGGTTCAGGCCAGGAAAATGTCCAAATTCACAAGACAAAGATGGCCACTCAACCAAATAATATTCTTAATCAGTTGAAGCAAGATCATGATCAGTCGAAAGACAACCAGGAAGTTGAAGGCAGGATTGGTGGACAACGTATGTGGGATTGCATGATTAATTGAGGCTATGTTTTTGCAATGTTATTGCAAGCCTTTGTGTTTTCCAGTTAACTACAAGATAGTCAAAGGACAATGGAAGACATGTTTTTCCGGGAGTTTGTTATTAAAATGCTGTTTTCTCCAGCATTTCTTCTCTTGTGAGTCCATTGTAAGGAAGTCATTATCAACAGTGCTGCAAGTCAGGACTCTTCTGGCATCCTGCATCTGTTTGCTCATACAGGAAAGATTCCTGGGAATAGGCTGGGATAGCCTACGTCGGTCTGACTTCAGAAAAAAAACTTCCTTTAGGGTATATGGTTGGGTTAGTACAGAAGTTAGAGAACCTGCTATTAGAAAAAGAATCGTTCAAATCCAACATGGTCTCTACACTCATGTCAAGACTTTAAGATGAAGTTAAGGCTCTGTTTTCAGGCAGCTCCATTTTAACACATAATGTGTCTCCGATTTTAGACTCTCAGAGACTTAAAAAATGTGTTCTGAAGAAATGAAAATTGGTGAAAAAACAAACCACCTGGAACCATATAGTGTGTCATTAGCACATCTTAGTCCACTCAAAGAAAATGATTCTTATACTCCAAATGTCATTATTCTATTTTTCCTTCACCTGTAAGTCCAATGTTAGAATATCACTTACTATGAAGAATGCCTTCATATCAATTAAGAAAGAGGTCTCAGTGTCTCTAGGAAAATATTGTAAAGCTAGAGGAAAAAAATGGATACAACTGGCAGGTAGCTTGAAGGCAGTGCCTTCCCCTCTCGGTGACTCCAGTGCCTGGCAGCGGGTCAGAAACTTAGTGGGTGCCTAAGAAATGTCTGTTCAGTGGACGACTAGAACCTGCTGGGAGACCAGTAACCGGAAATGCTCAAGTCTCCATAGACTTGCTTCAAACATGAGAACAGATTAGGCTAACACTTCAAAGAGATGTTGAACTATACAGATATCATTTGAGTTTCCAGGAATTGAGATTCTGATGGTAGTACAAGAGTACTTACTGCGTTTCCAGCAGTATGTGATGATCCCCAAAATAACAAAAATTGGGATGATGATGAGGCTAATGACCCAGGATGGAAACGGATTATCAGGAGGAGGCTTGGCTGTAGAGGGAAACATAATAGTGTCAACTCTTATGTGTTTACCACTGTCTAGTAACCATTCTATACCACTAATAAAGTTAGTCTAGTAATTTTATAGCTACACGTCTGTACAGTGAACCCTCATAGGTCACGACAGCACGTTACTATCATTTTATTTGCTGAGTGAAAGGTACCAGTAGAGTTTATGCACGCAATTATGAAATGTATCTGGCCGTTAATGTCTTGTAAAATTCTATTTAGTAGAAACCTCCCCAAACCATGTCACTTACGTATTATCCAGCGGAAGGTCTGTGACACTTCATGTTTGTCTCTGTACTTGATAACACAGATGAATGTACGGTTTCTAGTCATATTGAAATGGAGTTCACTGCTGATATTGTAGAGTTCAGTTTTAGGATCTTGGGAAACTATCTGGTTTGTCGCATTTAATTCTTCTCCACTTTCCAACCAAGAGAGGCGAGGCTCTGGGAAACCTCCAGAGGTTGAACAAAGTATCTTCTTACTGTCTTTAGATATGTTTCCCAAGTCAGTTATAATCGGAGCAGGGAAGTCGACTGCAGAAATAGCAGGGATATTAGAACATTTAGCTACATATCTGTGTGTACACATACATAGAAACACATGCATTATGTGGGTTCATATTTTAAATAAATGGTCTAGCATGAATAAGAATGATAAAATGAGATGTAATTTGTAATTTTCCATAAATCATTAATATGAGGGGGCTTGTAAAAATTCATGGAAAAATTCCGTATCTTTTCATTCTATTTTTTTCCCCCATGAACATTCTGAAGTCTCTTTCTATCTTTATTGTTAGTTACTGCTGAGTGGGTCCCACCTCACAGTGACAGTATGGGGAAGGCAGGGCGTTCTCTGAGTGAAGCTTGGAGTTCTTTCCGCAACCGAATGGAACTGGCTGGTCCAACCACATCCTCCTAACTATTGTTATGCTGGAGCCCATTGTTGCCGGCACTCCGTTGATTGTCTCTGCAGGTCTTCCTCTTGTTTGTTGACCTTTTACTTTACCAAGAATAATGTCCTTTCCAGGGACTTGTCCCTCTTGATAATATGTCCAAAATGCATAGGACAAAAATCTCATCATTCTTCCTCCTCAGCAGCATTCTGATTGTACTTTCTCCAAGCTAGGTTGGTTATTCTGGTAGTCCGTGACATAGTCAATATTCTTTGCTAACATCATCATTCAAAGGTATCAATTCTTCTTGTTTTCCTTGCCTCATTCCCATGCATATCCGGTGATTCAAAGTACCGTAGCTTGGGTCAGGTGTATCTTAGTCTTCCAAGTGACACTTTTGCTTTTTAACATCCTAACATCCTCAAGAAGTTTTGGGCAGGAAATTTAGTCAATATAAGACATTGTTTGAGTTTTTTGAAATCCTGAATACAGGGGTATGGATTGTGGATCCAAGTAAAATGAAGTCCCTGACAACTTCCGTCTTTTTCTGTTTGTCGCAGGTTGCTTAGTAGTCCCGTTCTGAAGACACTTGTTCTCTTGATGTTGAGATGTACTCCATACTGAATGCTGTAGTCTTTAATCTTCATCAGGAAGTGCTTCAAGTCCACTTCCTGTTCAATGAGAATTGTGCTATCTGTGAACTGCAGGGTGCTAACATCTTCCTTGAATTCTGATATCCTGTTCTGCATATACTTAAGCGCTCGTATTATTTGATCAGCATGCAGATGGAGTAAGTGTGGTGAAAAGCTACAACTGAGGCACACCTTCCTTGATTGTAAATCATGAAGTATCCTTCTGTACTGTTCAAATGACTGCCCCTTGTTCTGTGCACAGGTTCCACATGAACACAATGAAGTGTTCTAGATTTCCCCTCCTTCACAATGTTATCCATACTTTGTTATGACTCACACAGTTGAATGCCTTAGCATAGTCCATAAAACAGCAGTAAATACCACCCAAGCATTCTCTGCTTTCAGCCAAGATCCAACTGAACATATTCTTTGTTCCATGTCATCTTCTGAATCTGGATTGAATTTCTTATAGCTTTCTATTCATGCAACTGTTTTAAAATTATCTTCATAAAAATTTTACTTGAATGTGATGTCGATGATATTGTTTGGCAGTTTCTGCATTTTGTCGAGCTACCTTACATTGGAATAGATACAGGTATGGATCTCTTTTCATCAAAGGTCTTGGCATAGATGAGTGCTTTCAGTCTTGTATCTATTTGTTGAAAAGTCTCAGTTAGTATTCTATCAACTTCCAGATTCTTGCTCTTCACTAGTGTCTCCCCGCCCCCCCCACCCCCACTAGTGTCTTTAGTGAAGCTTGGAGTTCTTTCCTCAATTCCATCCATGCTTGATCATAGGCTGCTCCCGAAATGGTTGAACATCTATTTATTCTTTTTGGTGATGGAGTATTCCTTCTATCTTTTTTTAATGCTTTCAACATCTTTCGATTTTTTTTATCCATAGCATCTTTCAATATTGCAATTCAAGACTTGCATTCTTTTTGTTTTTATGCTTCTTTCAACTTGAAAAATTCTGAGCATGTACTTCCTGTAAATTTTCTAAGTTCAAGTCCTTGCACATTTACTTTCTCTCCTTTTTAAAATTTAAATTTGACATTATTGGGGACTATTACAGCTCTTATCCTAATGCATACATATATCCATTTTGTCAAACACATCTGTACATATGTTGTCATCATATTTTTCAAAACATTTTCCTTTTAGTTGAACCCCTGGCATCAGCTCCTCATTTTTTTCCTAGCCCTCACACACTCTCTCTTTTTTAAGTGACTGAATAATGGGCTAAGTTTATTTAGAAAGGTAAGTGGCAATGGACCAATAAATGCAATAATTTTATCACTGTAATTCTGCTCATTAGGATTTGATAATGGCATGTTTCCATTCTCTATTTGATCAACAAGAAAATGTATAAAATTTCAAGTTGTCTTACCTTTTTCTATTTTCTTTCAAAGGATCTCAATGATTCTAGAGATTGGTTAGTAAAATACAATGCACATAAGGGGTAAAGTACAAAGTAACACAATACCAGTGTCATCACTCATGTTATTATGGTCATAATTGTGTTATTCACAAAATTTCTTTAGAACATAAGTCAAAGTTATTAGCTTGAACTTGAGCTATATACATGAAACATACACAGCCTTATGTAAAATAGTTTTCAATAGCAACATTACATTTTAAAATATTGGAAACTGAGTATCTGTGTTGATTTGTACATCAACGTAATGAAACAAGAAGAGAACAATATTCAACTAGGGAGGGTGATACTGATAACAAAGTTCTCAACGTTAAAAAGGTCTTCCTCTCCTTTGTACTGACCACAGGCTACACAAGGTCCTGAGAGGATCGATGATGAGGAAACACAGTCAACCACAGCTTCAGGACCTTACTGTGGAAGAACTCGTGAAAATGCAAATTGGAAAGGTGAGACTTCATCCCCCTCTGCCCCCAAATAGTGGTCTTAGTTTTGTCTGTTTGTTTTCTTATAGAAAAAGTTTGAATATGTTTATTATAAATATATCTAAACCATGATTTTTACAGTTTTCAGATAAAGTCCAGCACTTTATACAAAGTCTATGAGACAAGGGCAGTAGAGATCATCTAATCTTAAGTCGTGACATCGTCCATCCAAGCCCTTGGCACAGTCCCTCGCCAGCAATGCCTGGATATGCCACTGATGATCCTTAATAGAAGTGAGCTTCAAAGACTGAGAGATTTCTGCTACAGTCACGCATTCTTTAACATTTTTTTTTTAAGCAAAAATCAGCAACCTAATTTTCCTTTCGGTCCTCATGTACTAACATTTTATAGAGTTCTTTTCTAGTTACAGAAATCCTTTCCCTGCCCGTACTGTCCACAACAACTATTAGTATAGTAAGAATTCCAGGAGGAATGAAGAGATAGATGTTTGGCCACCGATATCCCACACGAGGAGACGTCTGTTATTAACTACTATCTCTTCTACATTACTTCCTATTGTAGGAGATGTATGCACAACTTCCTTCATGGAAAATTGGTTAAGGATGGTAATTTGCCCTGCATTATCCAGTCCAACAATGATGCCTTTGTGCTCCTGGTAATCCAACAGTCTCCACATCCTGGTGAAGAGAATTCCCATTCTCCCTTCCAGCCCCCCGGCCCGCATGGCCTTCCCCAGGCTCAGGCTCAGGCTGAGATGAGAGATGCACTGGACCCCCCCCACCCCTGCCCAGCTGCTGAGGCTGCTGCTACTCCCACGATGGCCTTCCCTTCACTGCTGCTACTCCCACAATGGCCTTCCCTTCCCGGGAACCTGAGGGAGGTGGAAGGCCAGGCTGCCCAGCCACCCATGAGGCCTCACTACTGCCGTGGCCACTGGGGCACTCGCCTGGCTCACGGGCCCCACCCTCTCCCAGCTCCCCTCTTTTCAGCTCATTATTTCTTCATTCGCTTTAGCAACTCTACAGTGAAGAACAAGTTTCAGTGCCTCTTCTGACATCCATTTCGGTATCTCTCCTATCTTTTCAATGACTGTTTGCTTTCTTTATATACAGGATGGTGAGTGTCATCCTACAAGTGGTCTGGTTTTTATTTTATTTTTACTTTCTGATCTAGTGCAATGATTCTGAGATGGTGGAATCTGCCCTAGGGGGCTCTTTGGCTCTTGTGGACATGTTTGGATTTGCTCCAGCATCAACTTGAATGTTCCAGGAGAAATTGATGGTCTGTTGCACAGTCGGGTCCTGGCCTTCTCCTGAATGATGATACTGAACTTTTCCCACAGATTTGCCACAAATGTAGTCAGTTTGATTTCTGTGCATTCCATCTGGTGAAGTCCACACGTACAAAGGCCGATTATGTTGTCGAAAAGGGTATTTGCAATGAATATGTTACTGGTTTTGCAAAATTCCAACATGTGATTTCCAGCATTGTCGCTATCATTCAGGCTACATTTTCCAACTACAGATCCTTCTTTCTTTCCAACTTTCACTTTCCATTCACCAGTAATTATCAAGGCATCTTGATTTCATGCTTGATCAATTCCCATCTGCAAAAGTTGGCAAACATCCTCCATGTCTTCATCGGTAGCATTCATGGCCAGTGTGTGTCTTTGTTATCTAGTGCTTCTTTAACCAAAATACCACAGGTGGGTAACTCACAAACAGAAATCTATTTTCTCAGTCTATTTTCTAGAAGGCTAGAAATCTGAATACAGGGCCCCAGCTCTGTGAGAGGGTTTTCTCTCTTGTCAGCTGTAGAGGAAGGGCCTTGTCTCTTCTGAGCTTCTGCTCTTGGGTGGTCTTCGTGTGGCTTGCCATTTCTCTTCCTTGTCTTTGCTTCTTAGTTTGCTTGCTTCTTTAACACTGAAAAGATAGCGACTCAAATGCTCCCGACACCAATCCTACCTCATGAACAACAAAGCAGCTCTTTCCCACATGAAACCATAACCAGAGGCATCCAGACCCCAAAACCCAGTGTCCTCGAGTTGATCCAGACTCATAAGGACTCTACGTAGGGTTTCTGAGACTGTAAACCTTTACCAGAGCAGACAGCTTCCTCTTTCTCCTCTGGAGTAGTGACTGGTAGGTTTGAACTGCTGACCTTGAAGATAGCAGCCCCGTACCTAACCCACAAGTTAGGAATTACAGCATGTTTTTGAGGGACACAATTTGGTTTGTAGCAGTACTTAAATTAGTCATCTTAACTAGTCTCTCTTGTAGCCCTATGGGTATTATCCTACTAGATAGCACTGTATGTCAGGATAGATCTATACAGGACAACTCAGAAACATCCTTGTGGACGTTTAATGTGATGCCATTTCACTTTAGTTTGTACTTCTCGGGACAGTAGATCATATGATTGTCTGATTCAAAAGGGCAAATACCAGTTCATTTCAACTGGCTCATTCTGGGACATCAATTTTTAAGTGTTCTGTTTCATTTTGACACATTCCTATTTTCTTTCATACAAATTTTATATATTCCACATGCTGATTATTAATGAATGTTTGTAGCTGTTGTTCCTCATTAATACTTATATACAACACAAAGACTAATTTGAATTTGCTACATAAATCCCTCCATACTTGATGGAGATAGGAGGGCAGTATTTTCCAGTGCGGGCACTAGAACAATCCAGGGGTGTGTGTGCTGTAGTTTTTAATTGCCAGGGGGTACTGGGGTACTGAATACTTTTTTTCCCCCCTGAAAAGGGGGTGGTAGAGAGATGTGCAGAAGTATGTTCCCATGAATAAATGTTGGCATATACTTGCATTTGTAAGAGGTAGAGAAAAAAATTTAGTAGATAGCATTTACTGAGTTCTTGATATTTGTCAGCCCTATGTCTGACCTCATTTAATTTTCACGCAACACTAGGAAATTTGTTGTAGGTCCAAAGGATCAACTATTCTTCTACCCAAGATTAGAAAGGCTTGCCCAAATAGAGCTCTGATTCATGCATTTGTTTTCTTCCCTGAGGTCAGCATAAATTTACAGCTAATCCTTTAACATCTAATGTCACTAAAAAAACCACTGTTAGATGAAAACCACAATTAAGTGGTAAGGAAATGATCACTTTGAAAATATCAGAATATCATAAACTCAGAGTAATAAACATTCCAATACAATTTGGAAAATATTTCTACCTGAATTTCCATTTAACTTTTTGCAGAAACATAGTACTGGAGCATGTAGAGTTCATGCAGCTACAAAAAGTCAAACGTGTGCTCTTATGTTTCTTAGGATGATTGTTGTGGACTTGAATTGTCAAAGCACAAGCAGTGCATATGAATAGGTATTTACAGGACAACTTGAGAAAAAGTTAGGGTTTATTGTAAAATGGAGTCCTACTTCCCCTAGGGAATGAAATGAGACACACTGCTCTTTAGTTGAATTGCTACCTAACTCAATGGGTGCATGTCCTTCAGGACATTCAGAGTCTATCAATCTAGAATAAATTTTAAAAAAGTCACTAACCTGTGATAAATAGTTCTACCAAATTTTGGTGTTCTACCCTGTAAAATGCGGTATCATTCTTCTGAACAATACACTTGTATTGACCCTTGTCCGACAAGCGCAGAGCCATGATGACAATGGAGAGGTTGTCGGGGCTGTATGGTGTGATGGTCCGGTTCTCATACGCAGGCCACACCTTTAATTTCCCAGATACGATGGTCAGCACCACTTCATCATCCTTTTGCCAGTAAATTCGAAACTTGTTTAGCTGGTTACTGGGAATGCTGTAGTCACAAGACAGGACTGCCATCTCCTTCACTCTCTTTGTCAGCTGA